AAGTGCTACGACGCAAAATGGGACGCCTTAGCGCGGTCGTCAGCCACGCCGATTGTCGCGGTCCTCCTCCTTAGTGTCGGGGTCGTGTATCTATCAGGCCGACGTAGGAACGAGAACTAACGCAATAACTCTTAAAGTAACTTAATGAATTCCGAATGCTTCTGGTTTAAGAAGGAAAAACACGACTGAACCTCTACTTACGACCTAGAGACTCCTTACCTGTCCTTGAACCTTTTCCATGCAGCGGTCCACCGCGAGATACCACTTCATTCCCTTCATCCGGGTCCCACTCTAGACGTGGAACGCCGACGTCTGCTCCTCTTGTCCTGTCTTGTCGGATGTAGCTCTTTGACCCTGTATTGAGCAGACTTTCTGGATGCAGTCCGCGAGAATGGCGAGACCTCCTTCTAGCTGTAGACCGTGACAATTCTCCCCGACCGACCCTCGGCGTCCTCGCCGAGTTGTTCCCTCCACTGCCGGTCGCACGGTCTCACCAGCAACCACTTCTGGAACGCCACCCGTCGGCGTTCCAACAGGCTTTGTACCCCCATCTTGAGTCTCCGTCGGCGTTCCTTTCTTAGGCGTTCCACGTAGACGCTCCAAGCTGGCGCGTTCTCTCTCCTCACGGCGTCCTATGCGTCCAGTGAGTCAATTCCACCCTTGTTTTGCATTAGACCCCAGCCCGGTCCTCCTACAGGGGCGACACGTCCAATAATAACGCAGCCCATGGCTGTAACAGCCAACTACCAGAACCGTGGCACTCCAGTAACAGCTTTCTCTTGCGAACTCGAAATAGACATCCACCATAAGTACTACCAAGACAACGCCAAGCGGTCCTCCTAGTATGCCTTCTACGCTCTCATACACCAGTCGAGGCAGGTACACCAACAGAGATAACAACAACGAGGAAGCCAAGTAGATACCCATCAAGAAATCGCCAGTCCTCTCGATCACTGCCACCGTAGCTTCCCCTGTAGCTCGGGCGTACTTGCAGGTAGACACCCAGAGTAGTTGTACTGCGTCAGGTACGAACAAACAGCAGGAGTGGTGGAACGCCTCACACCACCTCAAGCACAGCCGTCCCGTTATCCCAAATCGTGCCTCATAATCTTGCAGCACAGCGATAGGAATCAGGAACGCCAACGAGATCAGAGCACACGCATACTCCAGCGGAGGTAGCGACAAGGCGTTAGCGTTCCGCGCAGCTTCAAGGTACCTATCACCACAGGTGTACGCGAAGAAGTAGACTGCCCGACCGTTGTCGACGACGTTGTCTAGGAACGCCCACGAGACGTTCCTCAATGGAGTGGTCACCACCCACACCAAGATGCCAGCGACTGCGCTTAAAGCGAGCACCCAGTAGTTAGTCGCTCCTGCCACCTCCCTTAGCTCGGCTGCTTCGGCCCATTCTAGCCACTTCTCCATCGCTGGCCAATTCCCTTAGTGGACCTCCAACCGTCGTCCACAGCCAGTGCAGGTGTCCCACCCGGCGCCCTCTCGCTCGGGGTCAGTTCCCGTCATTGCGTTCCACTTCAACGTCCCTTCGCAGGTGGCGTACCCCTGGCGCACCCACCGGCGGCCACCATCCTTCCCTGGTATGGGATCCTTCACTTCCCAATCTTCCTTCGATCGACGCGACCGTCATGACGTCCAAGTTCACCGCCGCTGAGCTGAAGCGGTTCCGCGCCTTCCTGGACGCGGCCCTTGACCGCGAAGAGCACGGCCCTTCCTCCGACGACAAGGACGCTCTCAGGCGGCAACTCTGGGGCGAGATACGTGCGCATCTCGGGGTCAACGGCATGTCTACGGGCCTCCCACATCTCGACCAACTCGTTGAAGACATCTTTCAAGGCAAGTCGAATGTCAGCCTCCAAGGCCCGGTC